TTGAGTAGACCAAAGAACCCATGTTTCACTTTTTGTTGCTTTTTGTGTTATATATAGACGTGCAATTTTAGGCTATGATGTTCAATCTTTTTTACCTAAGGTAATAGGGTTCTTTATACACCCATATTCTTTTTTTTTCTTTTTTTTTACTTTTTTTTATTGTGATTACGTGATTTACTCGTATAAATTATCAAATTTTTTGTTTCAATTTACTTGACTTGATTCAAAGCATCTAGTCAAACTAACTAAAAATAATCAAATCCCACATAGTAATTAATTTCGACACTCTCAATATATATCAATCTATGATAACTTTATCTAGCAACCAAACGAGGTCTTTATGTGTGTTTGTACTTCAATATATATTCATATCCATTGGTGTAACATTTTTAAAAACATGACATTTGGCATGAAAAAAAGATAAAGAAATATATGTCAGACTGCACCAACATGATCCAACATGGCTTAAATTGAGAGACTCACGTAAACAAAACAAGATACTAAAATTACTCAATAATTTATCTCAAAATTAATTATCATGAGATTATAGGATAATAATTTTAAGATAATTAATTTCGAGACAACTCACTGACCTCCAATTAAATGAGCTCTTGTTTGGTACGAAAGATAAAAGATAATATTTCATAATTAATTTTAGAATGAGTCTATCTTATATTTGATTGAGATAAATTTACAAATAAATTATCACAAATTACGTTATTTCCCGACTAGACGAACCTAAATAGAGGGGAAAAGAACAAGAAGGAAAATAGAAAATGTAAAAATGATTAGCTAGGAATATCTCATAGACCATGTTACAAACCGAATATTTGTAGGGAACAATAATACCTATAATTTTTTTGGTTAATAATCATGATTGAAGAGACAAATGCAATAAGTGAAAAGTGTATTATTTCTCATAATTATATTGCAGGTTGTTTTTTTTGTCTTAATTATAGACCTCAGGCCTTAGCTACTACTTTTGTTAAATATGGAATCTTAGTATTTTGCATGAAAATGATTAAGCCTAACACCCTGGTCTAGCTTCAAGATAATGTATACACTTCTGATCTATAAGAGGCAAGCTAGAAATTCGATCGTTTAAATTCTGACTCCACCTCTAAAAATTATTTAATCTTTTAAACAAAATGACAGATATAATACCTAGTAAATAACTTTCAAAGTAAGAAATAAAAGAAAATATATCAAAAGAATTTTTTATATTACTAAGTGGAAAATTAAAAAGAGACAAAATTTAACAAGGCAAGACAAGATAGGACAATTTTTTTAAAAAAAAATGTTAGATGGTAAAAAATCTTAGTAAGATAATTCAATTGATCAAATATTAAATTCAACTCGTAATTTCTTGATTACAAATTCAAATCCAATTCTTCTTTTTCAATCTGAACATGCTTTGTGAAACGACAATGAAAAAGTTAAAAAGTTCATGAACTAGGTATATAATCTGAATACACGATAAAATATCGAAGTGATTGAGCATTCATGCTATCACGATATACTGAGAATTTGAGATTCAATCCTATATTGCTTCGATTTTTTATTTTTTTTTTAAAATAAAATAAATAAGCATACCATAATTAAAAAGGAGGCAGGTTAATTAATTATATGTGGGATGAATGTGCATATATATTAATTAAATTACATTACATAAGAAATAATTGAACTGTCGTCGTCTAGTTTTTCATGTGCTGTAGACTTATAAAAGTGAGTTGGCTTATGCTGATATATAGTAATAAAATAATATAATATATAATACTACAATAATAAATATATTTATGACCAAGACGACCTAGCTAATTCTAGATTGCAATATTCATATTCTTCACCTATCATTTAGTTCAGAAAACAATAATGCAAATTAAAGCCAATCATATAGGAACATGAATCGTACTGTGTGAACTGTGAAGTGGAAACACCTACTACATCTTTTGTAAACTTTTGCTAAGCTTTTATTTTATAACTGTGATATTCGGATTAACCGCATCTCGTATTTTTTTTATTTTAAAATAAGTGTTATTTAAACGAGAAGTATCTAGTTAAAATGTTTTATTAAGAGTTGATGTGTTTAATTTAAACAAAGTTTAGTTCAAATATTTAAGAGATTGCTTGGTGAGGCTCAAAAATCTTTCTTTCACATTTTTTCTGTGTCTCAATTATGATTGATTAGCTTCTTTCTTGTGCAAGCTACGATCTAACTCCTTGATATATGTTGCACTATGTGATCTTTCGGATTATGTATTAAGTTTATATTTAAGTTTGAGTTGCAATCACTCTGTGCAATTACATTACAATAATTAGGAAAAGGAAAAAATGACAAATATACCCTCAAACTATCGTAAATAGTATGTAAATATCTTATGTTATACTTTTGAGATATTGGTGTCCCTGCCGTCCAAAAACTAGAGTATATATACCATTTATACTAACGGACGTGTCATAATTTTATCCATCGACCCGACATTTATTAAATATCGGATCAACGGATAATATTGTGTCACGTGTCCCTATTTAGTCTTTCGCTATAGTGAAGGGCATATATGATCTAGTTTTTTTGACGGCAGAGGCACCAATATCCCAAAAGTATGACGGAGGATATTTACATATCATTTATAATAGTTCGAGGATATATTTGTTTTTTTTCCTATGGGAAAATGAAAATATTGGGTAGCAACAATATTATCCAATTCATTTTATCAAAAGTTTTAACTTAGGTTGTATTTATTATTATTTTTAAAGTGAGATATTCCTTGGCCCCTCAAAATACCCAAAATGATATATATGGACCATTCTGGTACAAGTGATTAATCTTGTTTGTAGAAATTGTATGACCCATTTTTTTCAAGTACCATTGATATATATATAGTTGTCGTTTGGTATGCGGTACAAAGTAAGATATTTTGAAATTAAATTTTAAATAAGATTTGTACTGTGTTTGATACATCAGGATACATTTATATTGTCTATTAAATACAATATAATTTTTATTTCATGGTTAATCTTAAGATATTTCATTTTATCCCATTCAATTTAAAATTATTTTATCACATTTTTAATCTCCCAAATGACATAAATTAGTCCAAAATTATAATATTAAAACTATAATTTCAAAATAATTCAATTCACATACTAAACGATCACGTATAGTTAAGTGAGTACATATTAACCTTCATTTATTTATATGGTAAGAGATGATTTGGTTGGGAATAAGTTATCTCGAAATTATTAATTTTGAGATAAGTTATTTCGACAAAAATTATTTCATCATATATATGCGATAACTTATTCCATCACTATAGCAAAAATGATGAAATAAATAATTCAAGTATTAACTAGTAACAATTTAACTATAAAATATTTATTTTAGCCTTAATAAAATGATTTACAACCACACAAATTTCTATAATTCATTTTGAACCACAAGTTTTAAAATTCCTTTCTTTCTTAAACTTCATTCCGAGTCAAACTACCTCACATAAAATGAAACGAAGGAAGTAATACCTCCGATCAAACATGAAATAAAATAACTCTATATATTATTTCGAAATTATTATACCTTATACTTCCTCCGTCCCATTTTATGTGGCACCATTTCCTTTTTGGTCAGTCCCAAAAAGAATGTCCCATTTTCTTATATGGTAAGTTTATAAAGGTACAATTCCTCTTTTATCCTTGTTGGTCCCACTTAATCTTAAAATAATACTCCAATACATTTATGAGGAGAGAGAAAAAAAAGTCTACTTTTTAAAGGGCAATTTGGTAAACATTTCAAAGTCTTCATTTATTTCTTAAACTCCGTATCCGATCAAATATGTCACATAAAATGGAACAGAGAGAGTACTTCGCAATAAAATGAGCCTTTTGAAAGTATACCAAAGTTGGTAGGGAGTAATCTTCTTGCAGTGGAGAAGAATATAATAAGTCAGATGAATGTATCTAGTGATGTAATAGGACAATCTTGTGATATTTAAAAAAAGATTTAGTAGGTACCTATATATTAATCATAACAACAATTTGGAGTTGATATTACTATAATTCCCACCACAATTTCACATTTTGAAAAAATAAGTAATTGATCAATATTGTTCAATTTATAATTCTTGTTAAAAAATAGACCTAAATTAATAGTAATAATAATAACAATAATTGAATTAAGTATACAGTAATTTCACCCATAATTTCACATTTTGATAAAAAAATTGACTAATATTACCCAATTAATAGTTTTCGTTAAAAAAATAGATTTATAACTATAATCGGAGCATATCTTACTTAATGCGCTCCTCTCTCCCTCTTTTCTAGCCAATACCAATAGCATCGTTTTTTTAATAGGACAAAGCTAAAAATATGATGAATAAAATAAATAAGATGAGAAAAATATGTGAAGGACTTCACTATAGTATATGTCGAATGCTTGTAGTAAGGAATTAATCTCCCTTTATTATGGTAAAATAAAAGTTGGTAGCTTATATGAATTATTTCAAGGTAAATAACCGCTTGATTCGATATTATTATTTCAATTAAATATTATTATATTTTCGACCACAACCTTACATTTGACAATTAAAATTAATTAATATTGTTCAATTAATAATTCTTGTTAAAAAAGTAGACATATAATAATAACATTATGAGTATATGATATATTTTTGTATGATATTTATTTATTTATGAAATATAATTATTATTATTAGTGATTAATAATAATAATTATTATTATTATATTTATAAGAAGTTCCACTGTAACCAGCTGAGCCATCGTGCAGACAATAAATTCCCTGCCTAACTTATCGCACTACTCCTTCCCACGTTCCTTCTGTAACATATAAAACCAGCTCCATTGACTGCTACATTCACACTTCACTTTCCTTTTTTCCCTCTCATTTCACCACCGCCGCTGTAACCGTCGCCGGCGGTAACTTCAATCTTACTCCGGCGATCTACATTTCCGTTTCCGGCCTCACTGTTACCTTTCAGCCGACGGAGTATTTTCCATTTTGCCATCAATGGCGCTACAGAGACAACCTAGTGATCTGAAAAACAGAGTGAATACTTGTCTCAATAGATTATCTGACCGTGATACTCTCACCGTTGCTACGAATGAGCTGGAGTCTATAGCTAGGAGTCTTAACAGTGAAGGTTTTGGTGCATTTTTGACTTGTATTTCGAGTACGGACTCTTCCGATAAATCACCGGTGCGTCGGCAATGTGTTCGGCTTATCGGCGTACTCTCAGCGTCTCACGGAGATGCTTTATCACCGCATCTAGCGAAAATGCTTTCTACTGTACTCCGGCGACTTCGTGACCCTGACTCAGCTGTTCGCTCTGCTTGTGTAGAAGCTGTTTCCTCCATTGCGTCGGAAATTACTCAACCGCCGTTTTCGTCTATTTTGAAGCCGTTAATCGATGCTATTATGCACGAGCAGGATAATAATTCGCAGATCGGAGCTTCGCTTTGCCTTGCTGCGGCAATTGAAGCATCACCTGATCCCGAGCCGGCGGAGCTGAAGAAAATGTTGTCGAAGCTCATGAAATTGGTGAAGAATGATTCCTTTAAAGCCAAACCGGCGTTACTGTCGCTCATTAGTAGTATTGTTAGTGTTGGTGGTGCTTCCAATAAGAATGTATTGAATAGCTTGGTTCCAATTACAGCTGAGTTGTTGAGTAGTGAAGATTGGACTGTGCGGAAGGCTGCGGCGGAGACATTGGGACGGTTGGCTGTTTCCGAGAAAGAGTTGTTGTCAGAGTTGAAGGCGTTCTGCATCACGTCATTGGATAGCAGAAGATTCGATAAGGTACAAAATACATGAACTACAGTAAATCTATTTACCATAAAGTTTAGAAATGATTGATAGGAGAACTTCATTACCTTTTGTCATTTATTTTTGAAATGGAGTAATAATAGACTGCTGATCTTATTCTAATCTAAAATCTTATAAATTTATTAAGATGAATTGGCTTATACAATACTCTGCTTTGAATCTATAGGTGAAGGTTGTGAGAGAGACAATGAATCGGGCGTTAGAATGGTGGAAGGAAGTTCCAGGTGCTTCAGATGATGTTTTGCCTCAATTACAATCCAAGTTTCCACAGAAAGGTAACTTCCAATAAAAGCTAATCTGTTCTGTTGAAATAATTTATTTTTTTCTTTGTAGAAAGGCTTGGGGTTTAAATAATTCTTGGATTTCCTTAGTTTTCATATGTTATTACTATGTTCTGTCAATAATTTTCTTTCCTTCTAAGCAATCACGGAGATGAGAGGATTCAAAAATAGCTAGTCATATTAAGAAAGAGCATTGAATAGTATTCAAATTGGATTTAGTTTCGAGTTTGTTAGAGAGATTATGTTAACACAAGGTCCCTTGAATGTTGATTGACTGAAGTGGAATCTGAATTCCTCTACTCTACGAAAACGGAAATATTGGCTCAAAATGAAGCTTACTGAAGATTGTCGTAGGCATGGTGTGAAGTTTTTTGTTTATGACGAGAGAGTTATATTCTGGTCAGTATGGTTGAAAATAGGGAGATGGTTACCGAGCTTTTTTACTATTTTACCTTTCCACTCCTGCACAAATTAAAATCTGTGAACTCCTTTTCTTCCTAAAAGTTCTTTTTCAAGTTTTTATGTTCTCCAGAGTCCAGACAAAACACTTGTTTTTTCTGATTGATCATCACATGCTATACACATGCTTAGAAACTTATCTTGTCAGATGAGTCCAGGTCCAGGGAATCTTGGACTTTAATTAACCCTTAGTTTCCATACTTCCAGTTTCATTGATTGAAAATTAGTCCTTTTAGTAACTAAACTATTTCAGCCACATCTGCATCGTAATTACTTTGTTCCAGCTTTGGTTATAGTGAGCTTTCGGGCTATTTTCCCTTTTCAAGTGTTGCATCTTTGTCTCCTGTCCTTATTGCTATTTTTATGTCAGCTGTTACATAACTGTATGCCATGTTTCTACTAGAGATTGCCATGGATTCTTCCTATTTTCATCTTTAAGCTCTTATTGTAAATGCATTACTTTATTCACCTACTTTCTGCTACTAAAATTATCCTATGAGGTGCCATATTTACAGAACTATGAATTTGTGTCTCCAGATTGTGTTAGTGGTGCCTGTTCTCCAACTCCTTCCAAAAGTTCGAGTGAGACAGCTACGGAAACCCCTCAGCCAAAGAAAGCAATCCGCTCAACCAAGTCACTTGCATCCAGTAGTTCTTCCTCGATCACCTCCCAGAAAAATAGTTCTATTAGGTTCCGCCGCACAAAATCAAATGTTACGAGCTCCTGTAAGCTGGATTTTAGAAAATCCCCTGATGCAAAAGCAAAGCACACTGTTTCACAGGCTTCTTCGTTGGAGGTAGCTTGTGAAGAACAGAAGAGTCAAAATCTTAGAGTTCAAGGTTCAGTGGATTCAGTTAGTTGTAGCAGTTCAAACTCAGAAGTAAAGTCAACTCTATTCAACAGACCACCGGATGAGAAGTTCCACAGATATGGTAATTCACAGTTTGGGTCTCGGGTTATTCCGCTCTTTGAGGACTACAATGACAACATGGATGTACCTGATGAAAACATCAACGAAGATGCACTCTTGAGTCATAGAGAGTACGAGAATTTCTGTTCTGTCAGCAAACAGCTTGTTCAGATTGAAAATCAACAGTCCAGTTTGTTAGACCTCCTGCAGGTACATTTGTCTTCTCCTTCCCTCAACACCCCTTCAAACATCATATTTAACTTTTGGTCTCCATTAAGTTGATGTCACAACCTGTAGTCTCCCCTATTTAAGAGGAATGAGTTGTATATTTGTGCCAAGAGACACATGCTGAGCTCAGCCTATTTCTTCTTCATTGCAGGGATTTATTGGCAGCTCACGAAATGGAATGAATTCCTTAGAGAAACGTGTAAATGGTTTGGAGAGATTACTTGATGAAATGCAATATGATTTGGCAATAACAACAGGGAGGATTTCAGATACTGATTTTACAGGAAGTACATGCGGCATGATCCCTCGTGCAGAATTTTTAGGTCCTAAGTTTTGGAGAAGTCCAGAAGGGCAAAATTCACAATCAAGAATATCCTTCTCCACTGGGAGCCAGGATGTAGTGTATAGTCAGCCAGAAACGTATGCTACCAAGCAGAACAAGAATATATCTTCAGCAAAGCAGTTTAGTATCAATCAGAATGAAGCATTACGTTCTTTCTCTGGTAGAAGAAAAGAGAGAACAGCTCGAGATGGCGAAACTGCAGGTTTTTGTCATGTCAGTAGGCATAACGGAACTTCATTCACAAATTGCATACAGCAGCAAAATTGAGCCTTAGGTGATTGTTTTCTTTAGCTTGACATGATGATTGTTTGATTATTGAAGACATACTTGTCTGTTGTCTCTAATCATCGCAATACTTAAAAGTCTTCTATAATATTATAAGTTTGAATAAATGGTTCGCGCTCTCATCAACTTTTGTAGATTCTTCTTTCAGGTCGTGTTCTGTATCTTTTAATTCTCATTTACAACATATTTTTTGGACTAGATGAAACCTAATCCTTCACACCTGGCTGTACTCATCTAGAGGTCACAGTGTTTTGTTTCCCATGAGCACAATTGGTGGTCAGTTGGTTCTCCATAGTTTATGACTCTTGCTATATTAGTTTCTGATTCTTCACTGTTATTTGACAGTCACTAATAGTTTCCTCATTAGTAAAAAATTGTTTGTGTTGGTCTTTTTTCTCAAGCATAAATCGAATAGTCCTTCATGTTACTCATAGAAGGGTCGCGTACACATTTCCTTGGAACACATTCTTAAAGCTAATACAATCTCTCAATCATATGTTGTTCTTTTACAATTATACTCACCGGTTGAAGATTTTTGTTTGTGTTAGTAACAAATGATAATCTCTTCTCTCTTAGCAGGTTTTGCGTAGTTAGTCTCAATGCTGAAATATTTGGATAGTCTTTGTCCCATCTGAATCTGGGCAGGGAAACCATGTACTACTTGAAAAGTTCAAAGCTGTTTGCTGTGAAGAGAAGTCCAAGGAATTTATCAGAGACGAAGACAAGTTTTCAATATTTATACCTGGTCATTTGGTTATGTTTAAGGGCCAGTGAGGGCAAGCAATGGGGGGTCTGTACAGAAGCTCTGAATGTTGTTAAATCCTGTTTATGCTTATTTATTCTGCTTTCTGATTCTAATAATCCAATGATTGTTCTGTGAAATGCTATTCATTCTTCCAAAGGAGGAAAGTGCAAATATTAGTCAAATTGGGGCCCTTTCCTATTGATATCGACGACTATTGGATTTGAAAAATAATTCTGTTGATTCACACTAGGACTTGTTTTGTTCCCTGGTTGTCGACAAGTATACTTGAGCATATACCATAGCTGTTTGAGCTGTGAGACGACTCATATTGACAACTCTATTCATACATCTATTTGTCTAATGTCTAATCTAATGTAAATATCTCGTGCTTCGCAAGTAGGGTCTATTGAGGGTAGAACGTTCACAAATCATACTCTAGACTTGTGGAGGAGTAAAGAGGTTGTTTTTGGAAGACCCTTGCCTCGAATACTACATATCAAAATAGGTTTGGAAAAAAAGAGAAAAAGACTATGAAGAAAAACAAAGCAATTAATAAGTAAACAATAATAACAACAACAAAATAATGGTTAATCTAAACACACAAACAAAGACTATATTGAATTGCAACCATAAAAAAAAAACACTTGTTATTTCAAAAAACTAATGTTAACACCAACTTGTTTAATTTCCATCTCACATCTATCGAAAGTAAAATTAGGAACTTTGACATTGTATGCCAAGTTATCAACCATATGACTTAAAATAACTTAATACAATTTAGTCTTTTTCTATATAGCATTGTTCAAGAGCTACTGACGAATTGAGAGTATTTTTTCTAGAGGTGAAATTGGATGATATAATCTAGATGAGATCGATGATAGTGGAAATAGAGAGTTTCTCCAATATTTTCATCTGTTTTGGTGTAAATCAAGATTGATAGTTAAATTCATGCCTTAATTATATACATGCCAATTGCCAAAAATACAGTGAGCCCTGGATATAGGAAAAACTACTTAATTATACATATATTCCTATCATAAATACTAATCCATTCTACAGTTTAAAATAATTATATATTGTCTTATTAATTAAAAATTTTGTACCAATTTTCAAGTCTGTTGCATGTATTAAAGATACTTGATATGTATCTTGATACTAGACCGTAGATACTTCCTTCGTCTGACAATACTTGTCCATCATACTAAAAATAGATGTCCAACAATATTTGTCTAACAATATTTGTCCACTTTATGAAATCCATAGATAATTTTACACTTAGTTCCTAATTTACCCTTTTCATTAATTATAGTCATTTCCCTATTACATTTCTGAAGACATTGTATTCAAAGGGGGATATAACAAAATTACCCTTCTATTTATAGTTTCTTAAGGGGTGTGCCAAGTCAACAGTGGACAACTATTGTTGGACAGAGGGAGTACATTCTAAAAAGAGCATCTTTCACATATAACAAACATAAAAATCATATTTGTATGTTATAATTATAGTTTGCATAATTGCGCTCCATAACATATTTTATGTTTGCTATGAACCTTTTGTTTTGTATAATTCGCTAGATACATCCAATTTTATACAAATTGTTCAGTTTTGTATAGATTCATTTATACATTGTAATTTGTATAATAAGATCTGTATTTGTATAATTATAAGTGTATAAGATGAAAATATATGTATTTGTATTTATATATACACTTTTCTCTCGCTTTATTCAAACACAAACGCATTTCATACATTTTATACATTTGTATACCAAATGGGTAATTGTATACCGAAAATGGCTAATTGTATACCGAACCAAATGGCAAAAAAATGGAATGTTTGTTGCGAATTACAAATAAAATAAACTATGGCTATAACATTTAATTTGAATTAATAGTTTGCTATTTCATACAATTTTCCCTTCTAAAAATACAAATACATAGGGAGAGGAAAACGAGAGAGTAAGTGGATCTCAGATATATGTAAATCATACTAGATACATGTATCTTTGATACTAGATAGTAGGATACATAGGGAGAGAGGCGAATGAGAGAGTTAGTGCATCTCATAAATATGTAAATCACACTTGAATATAATGTATATAAAATAAACTACACCTAATTTAACCCACATGTATATGTGTGGTCCAAATACATATATCTGGTGAAGTAAATATGATACAAAAGATAATTTTGAAAACTGAAATAAAGACATCTAATTAGATTCTAAACTAATGAAATTTGTGTTATTTGTCACGAATTTATGCAACAAATGACGTGAGTGATCCGATCAACTCTCTTGTATTTGACACATAATGGCCCAACTTAAGATGAAGAGTGACCCAATAATATGATTTAGACATTTTCTAATTGGATTATAATGATGGACCTGCAGGCATATACAAACATGGTCACAAACATTCGAGTTGTCACAATTTCTTTTTTCGGGACATAAATTTATATTTTTATGTCATAATATTCTTCAAGTTATGTACTTGAGTGAACGGTTTTTCGAAAAATATCTCTCTACCTTTTCGAGGTAATGGTAAAACCTGCGTACATTTTATCCTCCCAAACTCTATTTAGTAAAAAAATTGATGAATATGTTATTGTTGTTATTAATATTCTTCAAGTTATGTTATGTGCTCCTATAGATACAAGTTCAATTGATAAATGGCCAATCGTGAAATTTAATGGGAAAAAAATTGCTTTCTAATCCCTCTATCCAACAATAGTTGTCCACTCTTGACTTGACATACCCCTTAAGAAACAATAAATAATAGGGGTAATATTATTAAATTATCCTTTGACTTTATTAAATTTAATGTTTTGATGAATGTATTAGATAATAAATAGTGTTTAATAGCAAGGGTAAAATAGACACAAAATTAAATTATCTCTTGATATTCTAAATTAGACAAGTATTATTAAATAACTATTTTTAATATAGTGAACAACTATTGTTGGATGGATGAAATATTTTCGAATTGTCACAGTTTTTGTGAATTCCACTTTGGTGAAGTGGACCAAATGTGAAAATGAATGCTAATTTCTAAGCATACGTATAAAGCAAGGCATTTTAATAAAGTGGTCTCATAAATTTATGGTTTGCAATCAATGCTCATTTACCAAAGTTGGTATATCCAAACTTTTATTCTGTTACCCTTGTTCTACACTAAGATGATGAGGTGATACTATGATCAATATTCTAGTGCGGAGCTAGAAGTTTGGGTATAAATTCGGTTGAGTTCAGTAATTTTTATTTAAATAATGTATTTGTATTAAAAAGTTATTAAATATGTACAAATATTATGTTTAGAATTCAGTAATTAACACTTGAAATCGTCGTTACAACATTCAGAACTCATACACTTAAAATTCTAGCTTCGCCTATGTAAATATTTGTCATCTTTTTCAAATGAAGTACAATAACTCAATAAGTTATCTAGATATTATTACATGTTTTCTTTTGTCTCAATTTGTATAATTGATTTTTCTAGTCGGTCTAAAGAAAAGATATATTCAATATTTATTAATAATTTAGTTACAATATTAATTTTATCCTTAATGAAATGATGTATAATCAAACAAATATCTATGACCTATTTTAAACTATAAATTTTAAAATTTCCTATTTTTTAAAATAAAATATTCATGTAACTTGGTTACTAAATAATACTTGATTAATGTATATACTCTGTTTCATTTTATTTGATTTTTTGTATCAATACTAGATTTTTTTTACTTCTCTATTTAACAAATCGAGAGTTTAATTACATTTTTCTCTATTAGTCTTAGTATCCAATAACTATATAAAATAGTACTAATCAAATTTAGAATTTCAAAGTATAATTAATAAGATTAGTTTAGTAAAATACATCATTAATTAAAATATTTTTAAAAAAATGTGTTTGAGACCAACATGGATCGAGTAACATGAAAGGGGGAGTATTTGATTGCCACTAAATTAATTGAGAAAAGATTCAAAACTTATTCGTCATTAGTTCATAATGGAATTTTCACAGTTAATGCTTAGTTATAGGCTTATAGCCAACAATCAACATGGAAACTGCATATAAATTTCAAGGGGCCTCTTACCTATTGATTTTATACGAGACTGATTCAAAATTTAAGTTTTCTGTTAAAAGAAAAAACAGAGATTAAGATTAAACGATAAGTATACACTTTATCACAAATTGTGAATTATTAGTGGTCCATACATAAAATAGAAATAGGATTTGTTTGAAAATAATGTAGTATTTTGGAGTTTTTTTCTCGAATTAATTATATGATTTAGTATAAATATCCCGAAAATTTCACCGTTAAACACTCATAAATTCAAACACCCATAATGAAAAAGGATTCATTGGAATCATTAGCTGTTGTTGAAATTTTTCTGGCAAAAGTCAACTCTTTTCCTTTATATCCTCAAAATAAAATCATTTTTATTCTTTGTTGAATATAAAATATTACTCCTATTAAACTTTTACTACTACAAAATATTTATTATAAACCATACACCATATTTTTATTAGAAAAAAAGTAATTTATATCTGAAGATGCATTTAGTGGCATTGGGTGGATAAATAGTGAGCTTTGAGATAGCAAATGACTGACACACGAATATTATTATTATTAATTATGATTATTAAATTATTTATTACATAAGTAGTAATAACAATAATATAAATATAATAAATCATTAAAAAGGGGAGACAGTGGCATGCTTGTGCCAGAAGATGTTTACAATGAAGCTGGTGCACACAGCCACTTTTATCTTTTTTTAAAAATATAATAAATAAATTAAATTTAAATAATTTTAAGCTTTTCATTTATTTTTAAAAATATATACTTTTATAGTCACATAAATATTATGCCACAAGAGTATTTAAAAGCAGTGACATAACCATATACAATATTGAATTAGTCTTTGAACTATCTTTTCGTCGAAAAATTATATTAAGAAATAATACTAAATATTCCGATTCGATTTTAAATTAATTTTTTTGACCATTGAGCTGTTGATTAAAATCAATCAATTGATACTTGTTCCTAAGACCTTGGCACAATTTACTCACAAATTCACATGGGAAGAATCTCCACGTTATGATTTTTGGAAACTGCATTATAAGTTCCTATTATTTATTTTTTCTCTGTCAAACATATATATATATATATATATATATATATAATTGTGTGGCTGTCAATAAGGAATTTAAGTTTCATGATTTTTTTTTATAGGACCACACAATTCAACGAAAAACAATTAATTTATTTTTTAAAGCAAAATAAAAATAATTTTTGTAATGATGAAGATAAATGACAAAATTGATTCATTATGTTTATGGTTAGGTTTAAAATGACCCCTTTAACTCATGAGCAATTTTGGTCTTCTAAAATTATAAAATCGAGCACTTATGTTTTTCTTCTATATTAAAAAATAATAATCTGGATATTAGATGTTATGGGAACTTAGAAGAAAAATAATAGAAAACACCATGAAAGTCTCGTCCAATCTTTAAAATTACAATCCAAAAATTGCACCAAACACCAAAAATAGATAGTTTCTTTTTACAAAATTTGCATAGATCTGGCTCTAAAAATTAAGCGAAAATCACAGAAATCGTAAAAACTACAATTACAAATTCATGTGTTAAATCTTTTCTTGTAATAAATATTGTTAATCTGACGATAAGTTAAGATTAAATTATTTCATTTAGACCAAACATATTATCACCGTGACAAATTTAAAGAATCAAAATTGCTCAATCATATATTTAAAAAGTCATTTTGAACATATCCCAAACTTAAGGACCTGTTTTTTTCTTTAAAAAAATCATTTTCTAGATGTTTCTGTCTCTTTTTTTTTTAAGCTGATTTTTTTTTTGAACTTTTGTAGAGGGTTGCGTAGCTTAGCCTTCCAAAGCCAGCAAACATGCACCAAATCATGGAATAATTCATCCATTTTTTTTAATAAAAAAATCGAGTTAGCTTCCGCGCATTACATTATACTTTTTACTTTCTACCATCAACTATACTAGATAACTTTATTTATCGAAATTATAACAAATAAAAAAAAATCACCTAATATTTTCCGCCCTTTACCGGAATTTGAACCCGTAATTGATCAATTCAAGTAGAAAGAAGAAAAGAAAGACTAGACATGTACCAATAATTCCAAAAAAGAAAAAGAAAAAAGAAGGAAAATTATAAGTTGATTACATGCTAATAAAGTGATAAAGGTTACACCTAATAAACACTAAACATCTATTAAAAAAAACAATTGATATAGCTTCAAGTTTTAACATAACCGTATATCAATCCAACTTTTTTAACAAATAAAAAAGTGAAAATGTCCGAAAAATAAATTAAACGAAAGATACTAGAAAAGAGAAATCAATGGTAACGAAAATACTAAAATCGTTACTATCATTAGTTTTACATCAATAAAGTTTAATTCTTCGTTCCATCATCCATCTTATCTAATATTAGTTAAATGCCAAAAAAATTTGTCACTTTTTGCAATATATGATAAGGTTTAAATATAATCCAAATAATTATAATTTATAATTATGAATAGACAAGATTGAGAGGAAAATAGCTGGTCTAAATTGGCAACGTTAGCTTTTTTGTTCATTTTCACTCACGTTCTTTTGTTCTCCACCGGCAGAATTTTATTTTTAATGATAATGAAATAAAATGAATATACTTTATAGTATTCCAATAAGTATAATACATAATAGTATTTAAAATATTGCTTGTAAGTTGGAAACAATTGGTTGGTTGATTTTGGAAGTGAAAGCAGCCATAAATTAAATTCCAAGTGGAGTGATTTAATAGTTCTCTTAAATTTATTACTTGTATTATTGGCAAAGTACGATTAATAATAGGAAAAATTAAAGCTAATTAACGATAAAGCTTTGAATAAAAACCATCCGAAAGTTCCCAGCTGGCTGGCTGCGCGTGTGACCAAATTCTTGGACTAGTTTTATTTTTTTTCATTCTCGAGCTTGAACTCGAGAATTCTGATTAAGAGTGTATTTGGTATGGAGGAAAATATTTTTCTTATTTTTTTATATTTTATTGGATAAAAATTTTGAAAAATATTTTCTGTAGAAAAACATGTTACTTAAAAATAAGGAATATGACCTTTTTAATAGAAATAAGAAAAAAAAAAAAAATTTTACCAAAAAAAAAAATATAATTTTTTTTTTTATAAATGACATTCTATATTTATTGTATTCTCTGCACCTTTCCAATGCCTCCAACCCCTGCTAACTATTCTAAGAAAATGTTTTATAGAAAAATAATTTCCATGAAAAATATTCTCCTTTCATGTGAATGAATCTCCACCATATTGGTGACTAGTTTTCACTTTGCTCATGCCCTCTTGAAGAGGAGGGGCTACACCTTTTAATGATTTTATAGCATGAATTTGAGCAATCGAGATGTTAAAAGAGGGTATCCAAAATCATATAGAATACAAAAATGAAGAAGTAATAAAACAACATAAATTGAAAAAAAAAAATACCTTCTCTATTCTAATATTTATGATATGAGTATCTAACATTTACTATAAATCAAAATAATTTACAATTTTAACTATTTAATAGATAAGTAAAAAGTTGAAACAACAAGCAAAATCATTTGACTTAAAAAAATTAACAATGGAACAAAGGAATAATAATACACCTTATGTCTCTAATTACTTGTGTACTTTTGAATTGATACACCTATTAAGAAAATAATAATTGACATAGTAAGTTTACTATTTTACCCCTATTAATTATAAAGTGAATGAATTAAAAACTTAAGATTTTCAAAAAATTCTACTTTTTTAAAGTAATTAATTGAGGGTATAATAAGTAAAAAATATTGTCCTTTCTTGATTTGTCAAAATGGACAAGTAATTAGGAACAACTAAAAAAGAAAATGTAGACAAGTAATTAGGGACAGAGGGAGTATATATTAGAAAGTGAAAATAAGGTTTTTCTTCAGTGATCGTGGTGAAGTGATAAATACTTCTTTACCCTTAATCAATTTGAGTTTGAGTTCCCGTAGATACAAGTAAGGAGACCTTTAACTCCCAATATAAAACTTTCCTGCATAAATTTGGATTTAATCGAGCTTATATATGAATATCAAACCCCGAATAATTCATACACGCGCTATGCCATCTCAAATCCAAATAAACAGCTACAAAGCAGCCATTTTTACTCTTTTTCCTTTTCTAGTACTGTCTTTAACAACAGTAACCAAATATTTTTTTAGTATTAGTAGAGTAAAATATTCTTCTTCTTCTTCTAAACGCGTAGATCAGTAGTATATCTCTCCGACAATTACTAAAGATTACACAAAAAAAACTTTGATAATAATAAAATCACTGTCGGCACCCACAAAAAACCAGCAAAAACAAGAAAAACACCAAGAACCAAGAACCAAAAACTCCTTCAAATTCAATTTTTTCCTTATTAGATCTGCAAAAAGAACCAATCTTTAACACCCCTTTTACTTACAGATCCAAAAATCTGCAAAAAAAGAAAAAAAATGGATTCTTCAGAGCAACGTCGTAAGAGGAAAAGGATTTTCAGACCATCTTCTCCAACAGCAACTATTGTTTATTTCTTCTCTGTAAGGTCTTTTGTTTTATGTTTTAGTTTTTTGATTTTTCTTTTCCTTCTTTCTTATCAGATTCCTTTTAGTTCCTCTGTTTTTCGACCTGTTTTAGTTGTTTCAAGATTGTCTTTACTGTCGTCTTCTTCTGATTTTTTGTCTACTTCACAATCATTTCAAGATTTTGGTAGTAGTTCCTTATTGCATTTACAAATTGAGGGTCGGGTTTTGTTTCCTGATCATGTTTTGTTGTTGGTGAACAAAAATGATTTATTCAGTAAAAATACGAACTTTGAGTGTGTTTATGGTAGAAATAGTACTGGTGATGATGTTGGTGTTGTAAAGGAGAAATCTTTTTCAGTAGATGTTTATGGTGAATCTGAATTTGGGGTTCTTGTTAGATGCCCACTTCCTCCTGTTAATTATTCAGCTGTGGTGAATTTGAGGAAGTTTAGTGGAAATGGGCTGTGGAAAGAGAGTAATCAGACAGTTAATTCTTGGGAAAATGTGGCTTATGCTGCTACTTTGGATGGGAACACAGTAGTTGTGTTTGTGAAGGGATTGAATTTGAGGCCTGATAGAGAATCCGATTCGAGTCAGTTTAGTTGTTATTTTGGTTTGGGAAATTTCGAAAAAGAGGGAAGATTTGCACTTAGGACAAAGGCTATTACTGCTGCTCAAGAGGTTGTGAGGTGTGCATTGCCATTGAGTATTAGGAAAACCCCTGAGAAGGCTCGAGGGATACGAATAACTATCGGTATGTTGCCTCATATTCATGCTAAAGCTCATGAACATGTGCTTTTGCCTTCGGTAGCTAAGATTACTGAATTGAAATCTGAGGGAAGGGGGAATGTTGAAAATGGGAAGTATGATCTTTGTGTGTGTACCATGGTGTGGAATCAAGGTTCAGCGCTTCGTGAATGGATTACGTATCATTCTTGGCTTGGAGTTGAGAGGTGGTTTATTTACGACAATAATAGTGATGACAATATAAAGGATGTGATTGAAGAGCTTGAGACAGAGAATTACAATGTCACACGACATGTTTGGCCGTGGATCAAGACTCAAGAAGCAGGTTTTTCGCATTGTGCTCTTAGAGCGAAGAAAGAATGTAATTGGGTATCGTTTATGGATGTGGATGAGTATTTCTACTTTCCGTATTCTAATCCAGGGCATCAAAGTTTGAGAAGCACAGGTTATGCGGGACAGGATTCCCTTCGATCCCTCGTGGCAAATGTATCATCATCGTCACCAGGAATTGCGGAGATCAGAACAACTTGCCATAGTTTTGGACCGTCTGGTCTGAATTCAGCTCCCTCTCAGGGTATCACTGTCGGATACACTTGTCGTCTTAAGAGCCCCGAGAGACACAAATCAATCATACGTCCCGATGCTTTGGACACCACTCTCCTCAATGTGGTGCATCATTTCCACTTGAGGAAAGGATTTAGGTACATGAATTTGCCACAAAGTACTGCAGTGATAAACCACTACAAATACCAAGTGTGGGAGGTATTCAGGGCGAAATTTTTCAGACGAGTAGCTACATATGTCGTTGATTGGCAGAACAATCAAAATGAAGGATCAAGGGATAGAGCACCTGGTTTAGGGACAGAGGCCATTGAGCCACCAAATTGGCCATTACAATTCTGTGAAGTTTGGGATACCGGCCTCCGAGACTTTGTTTTGTCAAACTTTGCTGATTTATCAACTGGTTTGTTGCCTTGGGAGAAGTCTTCTTTCTAATCACTGAATCCCAATGACTATCGTAGAGAAAGGAAGTCTAGAAGCTAGGACTTTATTCTCCTTTGGACACGAACACTATTCCGTTCTCAATGGAAATACGCCTTAAAGATTGAACAACAATAAGAGAACTCAACGTTCAATCTAAGCTAGGGAGCTTGAAAAAAAGGCCCGAAGCCAATCCCAGGGAATAGTAAAGTTTCGTAGGGTCTTTCTGTCCAGGTGCAGGTAGTCCGTCGTTGTAGAGAAGATGATCACTATAAGATTCAATTCTTTCTTCATTCCATCGCGATTGTATCAAACTTTCCTTAGCTTTTGTAGACAAGATATCCACACAATAGCTTAGAATAGGAATTTTTTCCTTCTTTTTTGAATATATTTGTAATCATTCTACAGTGTAACATGATATTTTTCATTAAATGAGATCTACTCAGTCAATTCTTTTATCATTCTTATTAGCATTGAACCTTGCCTTATTCTACCCTCCATTTTTGGGCAACTTTTAATTGGTAACATGACATAATATCTGGAAAATGTCAAGCGAAAACTATGAACGCCATGAAGTAACAAGTATAAAGTGTTTTCTTCTCATCTGTCCTAGTCTTGATGTCGGAGTTCACTTGGTACTTGTCACTGGTTAGAGCTGACAGGTATCCCGTGAACTTAGTCACTTGAAATTTGAACTAGATAAATGTGAAATTGGTGATTACCAAAACAGAAGCAGAATTCTCCAAAAAGTTTCATCCTCTTGACAATCAACATATTATACACCAACTTCCATGCCCAATTTTCTTGTTATAATAGTCTTGTAATAAGCGCAAAACATAGAAGTAGATTCAAAATTTAAACTTTATGAGTTCAAGTTCAAAATTTTACCACATGCTTTGACACGTATAGAGAATTTGAACTATCCATTTTGATTTTTAAGTTATTAAAAAACTCTGGATCACCAATAAGAAATGAAGAACAAATAGTAGTAGAAGATAATAATTTGACATGACATATATAAAATTGGACACATAGAATTAGATAAGGGTTTGCTTTAATAAATAATATGAAGTAATCTTGGAATATCCAAAATCCTTCAAATTGAATACAAAGCATTATTCATAAAACAACATAATAAGCCAATAATTGGCAGTCATTTTTTACTAATTAATTAAAAATTAGGTTCACAGAAACAAGTATTAACCCCTTCAACAAACAAACAACCACCACTTTTATAATTTGCCTCAATACAAGCTGCATTACAATCTGGAAAATCAGAACATCTTCCTAAATTAATAGCTTTCTTAATAGCTTCAGTACCTGAAATCAAAATTAGAAGAGCCAAATAAAACAATCCAATTAGTAAAACTGATCTCTTAGTGGCCGCCATTTTTGTTGGATATTCATAGACTTCTAGACTGATAAGTTTCTGATCGTCTATAATGTTTAATACATCAATTATCATGTATGTCTAGGAAGGTCTATTTATATTTTAAAAAATGTATTCTCTAGAAATGTCTTTGAAATTATGTATCTTGAAATTGATTATGTTTCATATTTAATTTGTTTATTACTTGCTATGATGCTATTCTAATCTACATTGATTAGTAGTCAACTGTGATTGTTAGTTGTTACAGTAAAATACTCAGCATCTTATTATTTTAAAATTTGGAAGTTGAAAAGTTGAAAAATTGAAAAATTGAATTATCAAAATTTCAATTTAATATTGAATAATTATTTTACCTTTCAATTAATCATTACTCCCATAACAATTTAGAATGGCTCTATTCCATCGTAGTTAGCCAAACATATCGAGATCCATAAGAACGATCGGGTGGTCGAAATTCTGATACTACGGATATAGTTGAGTAAAAATTAAGGGGTATTTTGAGGACAACATCAATCTGTGACTTAGATGCCGACATTGATGAATCGAACCTATAGCAATGCCGTTCTCCTTGCCCGCCCCATCCGCTCTTAGTCAGCTAACCAAGAATCACAGGAATTTTCCCTTTCATTCGGATTTCCCTTCTGAGATTGGTTTTCCCTCCGCTTTAAACGTCTGTTTCCCGCCTGTTCATCCTGAACTTTTGATCCTATGTCGTCCAGCTTTCTTGGTGCTGTGGGTCTCAGTCTTCTAATGTCAGCTTTGTGGCAGGCCAATCGATCTCTGCTTGATTGGCCCAAACTGCATGATCGATCTGATGAAGATTCCCATGTAGATCTATGAAAAGCCGAATCAAATGGGAATATATATATATATATTCTTTTTTCTTTATTTCTAAAATTCTTTAGTGTGTTTATTTTATTTGTAGCTTAATCGTGCTAACTAAATCGATGTATGCCTTATTATATCTATAATTAATTTTTAATTCAAAGTTATTTCTTGAACTTTTTATGTGATTTTCATGTTGGTTTGAATTTTGATCATAGGCATTTCTATTTTCCAACCTTTCTAATTCTAAAATGTAATTCTTTTTTAATTTTTTTTTTTACTATATGAGATCAAACAATTAGAAAATATGCCACAAAATTTACCTTTTTAACACTTTAGTAATATCTAATGTTACAAAAAAATATTGAGGAGATATTATAGGTGAAGAGCTCATCAACATCAAGCTCTTGTTTTTAGTTCTGTTCAAAACAGAATCAAAACCGAAAATAAATAGTAATAAAAGATGAGAATTTGATCAGGGCCGACTCAACAACATTGGGGGTCTAAAGCGAACTTAAGAGAGGGGTCCTAATATTATTTTTTTCATCATATATACTTTAATTTAAAATTACTTTTCTTGCCATTTTAGATGCGAAACATCAGGTACTGTTTTATAATCAATTTGTTTTAATAATTCCTTTACAAATGATAATATAACTAATTCATTCGATCTCTCTTAAGACATTGCTGATCTTAAAGAAGATTTAATCAATTTTAATTTCAAAAAAACTTCTTTCGGCTGAGGTGGTTACTAGAACTGTTAGCATTATTCTATAAGCAATATGTGTATTTGGAAAGAATCAAGTCTTTTTATTTGATTTAGTATTTCCATTAGATCATTATCTTCTACTCGTATTATTTCCCTTAACACTTTAAGTTCAAAAATCAAATCTAAACCATCAATATCAGAATAACTATTACGTGTTAAAAAAAGTTCAAGGTTAAGACAATATCTTTTAAATTCTCATCATCTAGTGATCTCAATATTTTACCACTAAATAAGAAATTAAAAATATTTTCATATGTTTTTCAATTGGTTCAAATCTATTTTGAAGTGAAAAAATAGTTTGATCTACTATATATATATAAAATAATCAACTCTAAAAGATTCTTCAAGTGACTTTGTGATTTCGCTATCCATGTTTTCATCAAATTGTTTCTTATGAAATTCAAGTTTATTTTTATCTCATATGCAATTTCCTTAGGAGAAATCATAACACTCATCAAATAATTTAAAAATAACATATATAAGTAATTATTTTTTTAAAATGGCCCCCCCAAAATATATGGGACTCCTAGCGATAACTTTAGTGGCCTAGGGGTTAAGATGATCCTGAATTTGACATGACATCAATTAAAATTGGACTTATAGAAGACAAGAGTTTTCTTCAATAAATCATATAAAGTAATTTTGGAATAATCCAAAATCTTAAAAATTGATTACTAATCAAACAACATAAGCCAATAATTGGCGGTAATTTTTGACTAACTAATTATGGTTTAGGTTCACAAAAACAACTGTTTGTCCCTTTAACCATCAGACAACCACCCCCCTTAAAAAATGCTTGAATACAAGCTGCATTACAATCTGGATAATCAGAACATCTTCCTATATTAACGGCTTGATCAATAGCTTCAGTACCTGAAATCAAAATTAGAAGAGCTAAACAAAACAATCCAATTAAAAAAATTGATCTCTTAGTGGCCACCATTTTTATCGGATATTCAAAGACTTCTAGACTGACACGCTTCTCTTATGGTAATGTTTTGTGTACAATCATGTATGTCTAGGATGGTCTATTTATACAAAAAAAATAAAAAACTTTTTTGAAGTATCTTTAAAATAGTGTATCTTAGAATAGATTATGTTCCATATTTTGTATGGAAACTAATTTATTACTTGCTATGATACTACTAGAAAATTGTACTTTTTGAAATATTATTGAAATTGTATACCTTGAAGTAGATTTATGTTCCATATTTTGTATGGAAATTTATTTATTTATTTGGTATGATACTACTAAAAAATGTACTCTTTTTGAAATATTCTTGAAATTGTGTGTATCTTGAAATAGATTATGTTGAAGTTTTTCATTTTTACTTGCTATGATATTACTGATTGTGAATTTGTGATCAACACGTCATCATCATATTTTAAAAGTGAAAAACCTCTAAATTAAAAAAGTTGAATTACGAAAATGTCAATTAACTATCGAACAACTATTTACACTTTAATTAATCACTATACTCTTACAACGACTTTCTATAAAAATATAATTATATATTTAAATCAATATAACTCTAGCAGATTTGAATACTATACGATGAATATGTGTCCATTATAATATATTAATTACATTTGAACCTTGTAGAACATGTGTTCGTTGAAATGGTGTCACACTAATGTTGCTATAAATCCTTTGTTTGATGTTGACAATATCAAGTGGATATTGCTACGTTTTCTACTTAATTCGAACTTTGAAGACGAGGTTCTTTTTGAGGCCTGGAGGAATGTTATAAATCTAGCCATAGTGGAAGATTCATCTGAAAATACGTCAAATTACTTTTGAGACCTCTAGAGAAGATGTATATATATAAAAGATGGTATAATCTATTAATTAGGGCATGATAAGAACTCAAAACAGAGAAAATGGGTCGGAGATGGGTTAAACTAGTGGTTTCTAAAGGAATCGAGTATTCAAAATTGGAGATGGATCATTTGATTCTGATCTTGTCACATGTCCATTTTTGCCAAAATATATAAAAGGGATATTTTTAGACTGAAAGTAGAACATAAGGTATATTTAAATCGAAAATATTCTGTAATAAAATAATACTGTAATAAAAAACTATCAATATATATAACTTAAGTCCAATACAATAATATTAGATTTGTTCATGTGCACTAATTGTCTATATAATATTTATCCAATCAAATCAGTAATTGCATACAACACTATTAATTAATAATATTGTTTGCTAATCTTTATAAATGATAACTTATGCATGTTATATCAGGTTAAATTACACTGATAATATAAATCACATACATACAAGAACATATTAATCAATTTATAATAATTAAGCTGCTGTTGTTGCCTTATTAACTAGAGATTTAGGAGGAGGAGACAATCTAATTAGAGGTAATCCAGCAGTAGCCAAAGACTCATAACAATTTTTCTCATGAAACTTCTTGATATAATTTGAAGCCTTATGATTTGTAATTTGAGCACTCAAATTACTTAA